GTTTCTATTCAACCTTCTACAAGGACCACCTTTGTCGAATCCGATTCAACTACGGTGGAAGAGACAGACACCTGCCAGACACCTTTATGCAACAAGTTGCATGTCAGTCGATGGAATTGGTCTCATGTACGTGGACATGTGAAGTTAGTCTGGGCCGCTTCATCCCACAATACCAATCAATCAAAATAAGATTGAGGAAGGAAGTAATCTGAATATCAATGCCCACAAACTCCTTTGTGTTCTACTCATGATGTCATCTACGCATAGACCTAGCTCTGATACCACTATTAAGGAACGTTGCATGGGAAAAAATCCTACGCTCATCATGATCAATCTAGGAGATAACCATCTATGAGAAAAGAGATTCGATTAAGGATGGCAATTTTACCCATGGATTCCGACCCAAATGGATAGGGTTTGGATATGCTTTTGTGCCCATAGGTGATGCCCAAACCCGACCCGATTGCTTGTGGGTAGGGTATGGATATAATCTTTTACCCGTGGATATATCCAAACCCGACCCGATAGTATGCATTAATGGGCAAAACTCTGCTATCCCTACCCCACAGTCACATGTCCCACTGTAATTTTACACTTTGTTATGTAAAACATGCAAAAGAAATTGCACAATCCCCAACGTAACTTTTATTAGTTGACACTCAATTCCCAGTAACATACTCTAGCACTCCTTCCCTTATTTTTATCTCCTCGTTAAATGACTCATCATTCTCATATTTTAGCAAGATACAAAATGATATTAGGTTGTTACTGGACACTGATTTACCATAAGTTGATGTTCACAATAAGTGAAGCCTAGCTTGCCACGAGGTGAAAAATGGAAGATCTTATATTAACATTGTCTTATGTCTTATTTATATGTCTTGAGATGAGTCGATGGATATCCAGTGGGTATGAATATCCATCGGGTTTGGACATGGACACCGTTTTTCACCCGTGGATTTTTTCATGGGCGAGCAAAGACTGTCTTCATGGATATGGATATGGGTTTGATATTGTTCAACCCGATCCAAACCCGACCCATTTCCATCCTTAGATTGGATCTACATACCCTTGTAGATCGCTAAGCGGAAGCGTTAAGAAACGTGGTTGATGTAGTCGAACGTCTTCGCGATCCAATCACGATCCGTCCCGCGAACTCCCAATTCAAGTGTTAAACGGACGGCACATTCACCTCCTCGATCCAGCGAGTGATGGTGAAGTAGTAGCTCGAGTCCTCCGGAAGCACGACGACATGATGGCGGTGGAGAAATCTCAGCAGAGCTTCGCTAAGCTATTCAGAGAGAAGATGGACTATGAGGGAGAGGGAGGGCAGCGTCGTGGCATAGATGGGTGTGGCTGCCCTCTCTCCTCTCCTCTATATATAGGGGGAAGGTGGAGGGAGGGGCGCCCTAGGGTTCCCCTAGGGGAGCTGGCGGCCACAAGGGGCAACCCTAGATGGGTTTTGGGCGCCTCCCCCATAGGAGCCTTGGCTCCCAAGGCAAAGGGGGCAGCAGCCCTAGGGGAGCTCTCCGCCTCCTCGGGACATCATGCGACGGGGTGAGGGGCGCACAGCCCCTTAGTGGGCTGGTGTGCTCCCTCCCCTTGGCCCATGAGGCCCCCCAACACTTCTCGGGGCCCTTGAAACCCCTTTCGGTTCTCCTGGCCATAACCCGGTATCCCCGGAACACTTCCGGACTCCGTTCCCTTCGTCCTATATATCGATCTTCACCTCCGGACCATACCGGAGTTCCTCGTCATGTCTGGGATCTCATCCTGGACTCCGAACAACCTTCAGTCACCACCATAACAACTCAACTATGCTTATATCGTCACCAAACGTTAAGTGTGTAGACTCTGCGGGTTCGAGAACTATGCAGACATGACCGAGACACCTCTACGGTCAATAACCAATAGCAGGACCTTGATGTCCATATTGGTTCCTACATATTCTACGAAGATCTTTATAGGTCGAACCTCGATGTCAAGGATTCAGATAATCCCGTATGCAGTTCCCTTTGTCCATCGGTATGTTACTTGCCCGAGATTCGATCGTCGGTATCTCCATACTTAGTTCAATCTCGTTACCGGCAAGTCTATTTACTCGTTTCGTAATACATCATCTTGTAACTAACTCCTTAGTCACTTTTCTTGCAAGCTTATTGTGATGCTATATTACTGAGAGGGCCCAGAGATACCTCTCTGTCATACGGAGTGACAAATTCCAGTCTCAATCCATTCCAACCCAACAGACACCCTCGGAAATACCTGTAGAGTACCTTTATGATCACCCAGTTATGAAGTGACGTTTGATACACACAAGGCATTCCTCCGGTGTTAGGGAGTTGCGTGATCTCATGGTCTTAGGAACAGATACTTGACATGAAGAAAGCAGTAGCAATAAACTAATACGATCAAATGATATGCTTACCGTTGGGTCTTGCCCATCACATCATTCTCCTAATAATGTGATCCCGTTATCAAATGACAACTCATGTCTATGGTTAGGAAACCTTAACCATCTTTGATCAACGAGCTAGTCTGGTAGAGGCTCACTAGGGACGCGTTGTTGTTTATGTATCCACACAGGTATCTGAGCTTCCGATCAATACAATTCTAGCATGGATAATAAACGATTATCATGAACAAGGAAATATAATAATAACCACTTTATTATTGCCTCTAGGGCATATTTCCAACACAGTCATCAATCCTCAATCTCCATGTTTCATTTTTTTTCTCTATTTTTGTCTTTAGTAGTTGTTACTATCTCTATTTATTAGTCATCAGTTATGTTCTAGTCTTTAAACATGGGAATGGCATTATTTGCATACTTCTTCAGTCATGTTCCTCATGGGTAATTTAGTACTCATAGTATTTGATTAGTGTCTTTGTGTGTCTTAATTTCATGTCAAGTTTCAGTTACCAGTCTCTTAGTTATCTGCCATTCAGTCTTGTAGTTATGCTAAATAGCATCACTTTTCTCTTTTTGTCTTGTAGTCTTCTCATAGTTTTTGGGATTCAGTCACTTTCGTTCATTTCGTTAGTGTCTCTTGTGTTTTGTGTTTTGAAAGTCTTTGTAGTCTCAGTTTTTAGTTTTTAGTCATTAGTACCCCTAAGGATGGTTTTGAGTTATTCTAAAGATCAGTGGCAACTCTCTGTTCTTAGTCTTCGTTTATTTTCAGTATTTCTTGGTTCAGTACACTTGCATTCTTGAGTTGTTAATTTCTCTGGTCCTCTGGTTCTCATTATATTATTTACCCTATCATTAATTTTTCAGTTCTTCTAGTTTTTGCATCAGTTTATTAATTTAACATATCAGTATTTCAGTCATTCTTCTTTATCTCTTAGTTTCGGTATCTGTTCATTTTTCCATGGTCAGTCTCTTCAATTTGCATAATCTTATTCAGTGCTTCATTGGTTTCTCTTCTTAGTATCTTTGTTTGTTGTTTCAGTCTTTATTTTCACAGTCTTGTTCCTTTTCGGTCTCTTTTCATCCGCTTCAGTTTGCTCGCTCTTGTTCTACTAGTTGTTCTTCTTGCCTTGTAGTATATTATTGTGTTGTTCTTCCAAAAAATCCAGCAAACGACACATGGCCTGGCTAAGCCAGGTGTCCAAGGTATATTTTTCCAGTTTCATCACTATCCTCGATGCGGAGAGTGTCGCCGTGTTCACCAATGGGAAGGAGTTGAACAACCTTGCAAACAGCTCAAATGAAGAAATTTGTGCTTGTCCACTGTCTGACATTTTCGGATATCATCAACAACCAACTATTGGGGCATTGCTTTGTTTTGATTTACTCTCAGTTCCTGAAGATAGCCAATCAACGTATCTAGTATCTAATCTGCAGTCACCAGGCAGCAAGCCTGGTAAGCTATCTCAAAAAAAAGTATCTAATCTGCAGTCTGGTTTTTGTGTTATTTTTCCAGGGGCTGCTCATGGGGGGTCTCACACGGTCACACCTGGTGTTTGATTAGCGCATTCCAAAAGCAAGAGCAGGAGAGGTGGACATGGTCACTACCGGAGACGCACTACTGGTGATGGATGAACACATACGGGCACAAAGAAGCAAATACTACTTCACATGTGCTGAACTGCTGATGGCGGGATCGGGTTCAGGTTCCGATGGGAATAGTTCACTTGCAAATGAACTTGAGGTGGGGCATGTCATCCCCATTTTGTTCCACAAGGATGGAGTTCGTTTGCACTCTCTCAGCTGATGTAATGCACCCCTTTTGATGTTTATTCACTTCAGGAATACTAAACCCAAGGCAAGGGGCTTCCTCTCTTTTTCTTTTCAAGACATTAAGCTGGTGCTCTCCCTTAGTTAATCCAGGAGGCATTTTTGTCAGTAACCTCTAGATGAGTCAAGTCATGCTTCAGTACACTTTGCCAGTCTTGAGTTACCATTAATAGTTTGTGCGTGAGAAGCTGGTGTGCGTCCGCATGTCTAACTATATTAACAGGAACTCATCAGATTTAGCCTCTAGATTTATGGATGCGGTGCTCAACACTGAAACAAAGTGGAATCTGACCTGAAAGCCAAATGAAATCAGATGGATTCCTTTTACAAACAATGAAATGGACCCAAACCAACAGACATACATGACAATCAGTCATTGGACAAAGAAAACAACCTGAACCAAAATGAAAAACATACGTCTTCTTCAGCAAGACGAAAAATTTGGCAGCATGTTACTGGTAAAAATGCAGTTAAGATGATTTACAACTAATGATAAACCAAAACAGAGCCTACTGCCACATGCCACAGGAAACGAAGTTTTCATGCAATGGCAAAAACAGTCTGAGGCCCTGCTTGGAATCGGTGTATTTTTATACACCTGTATTTGTTTTACATGTGTATTTTACCAGCCGTGTGCTAATTCCAGCTGAGAATCAAAACGACGGGTCGTGGTCTGTATATTTTACAGGTGTAAAAGCGCTGGAAACGACATTCCAATCGAGGCCTGAATCTAAACCAATTCAATGCTCACAGCTCACACCTACGGAAAGAACCAGATTGGCGAAGAATAGGACGACGGTGGGTAGTTCACCCAGGTCGCGTAGAAATGGATCGCAGCTGGCGGCCATCCAAACCCACACGTGTCGCTGCACCGGTACTTTCGAAGGTTCGGATTTTCCTGGTAGATCATATCCATGTCTCCAGCATCACGATCATCCAGGTAACGAACGCCCGCTGGGAGATTGTGGAGGCCAGAAGGATCTTCAATTAACCTGGAGCACCCCCTGGCTGCAAACACCAGGAGGCCTTGCAGGGACTCGGGGTGCAGCTCCGTCCATGTGGTAAATGCCTCGCCGTCATGAATGTCGCCGCGGTACATTGTGAGCCGCCTCGCCGGTCCTGGCTCACGGTCGTCGGGAAGAGGGGGCCAATGGTAACGCACCACCATTGCCCAACCCCCACGGGATGCGAGTAGATACCTGCCGGACACCAGCAGACCTTGCGGATTGGCCGGCCGGCGGTGCTCGATCAGCTGCTGCCGAGCTAACAGCCGCCCGCTGCCCTCCACGACGTGCACGGCCACCAGCTGCTCCTGGCTCGTCAGAAAGTAGAACGCGCCACGGTGATAAGCGACGTCCTCGAGAAACAGCTGCTGATGTCCGGCTCCGGCTCCCTCGCCGACGGTGACGTGGAACCCGTGCGCCACCGGTCGCTCGTGGCGCGCTGCGCGGACGAGTGCCCAAAGAGCAAACACTGGCGCGCCGCCGAGTCCGTGGACGATGGCGGCACCGAAGCAGGCCTTGCCGGGAGCGAGAGGCTCGGCAGAGAGCGCCGCCGCCACCATCACCATCTGTCGAGGCTGACGCGTAGCATCTCCGGTCATGGTGAGGAAGTCGGGGATGAGAAGACGAGTCCTGGTGTAGAGATTGATGAGCGCGTGGTTGGAGGCCTGCGCGCCGGCCAAGAACACCCACCCAGGCGGGTAGGAGCCGAAGAAGCGGCCGGCGGCGAACTCCTCCGGGACGCGGAGATGGTGTGGCCCTCCGCATCCGATGCACACGAACATGGCCGTCCGCGCCTCTCCCGGAGCAAGAACTGGAGGAGAAGAATGAGGCACCAAGAGCCACGGGAGAGCTGGACGAGGAGCCGGAGGGGCGATGGGTCGGCGCAGCGCGGCGGTGAGGGCGATCAGGTCCGCCGGGCAAGGAAGACGGCGGGCGATCTCCGTCAGGAGCTCGCCCGGCAGTCCCCCTAGATCCATGCGGGGCAGAGAGGCGGAGGCGGAGGCGGAGGTTTCTTGCACTTCTTGCCGGAATCGACTGCCGGGGGAAACGGGCGGCGGCGAGCAGCGGCCCGGAGGTGGAAGGGAGGCGGGGGTGGAGGGGGTGGTGGAAGGTTCTTGGCACAATCTATGGCCTGGGGAAGGGGGAGCACGGCGGCGACCGGCGGGCCGGTGGCGGAAGGGGGGCGGAGGTGGGGGTGGAAACAGAGTCCGTTGCTCTGCTTTTGAGCAGAGGGAGACGCCGTTGGTTGGTTGGTTTCTCCCCGCCCAGGAGCTGATTTTTTGACGAGCTGCTGCTGGGCTCGTTGGCATCGGAGGCAAACTAATGGGCCGGCCCACTCCCTCGCACTACGTTACATGCTTTCGGCTTTTGCTTTTTTTTTCCTGCAGTTTTCTACTCACTTTTTTCGAAAAATCGGTTTTTGTATTTCTTTTTAAAAGATCTAAAGTATTTTTTAAAATGCAGAAACTGTTCACCTTATATTAAAAAAATGTTCACCGTACGTTGAATAAAATTTGACTCTAAATTAAAAAAATTGTTCCATGTATATTCAAAAAAATATTCCATGCCTTTTTGAAAAAATATTCATTGAGTACTACAAAAATGTTTACTGTACAGAAAACTACGAAAAAGTGAAAAATTAAGAAACAGGAAGAAAAAAAAAAGAATACAGAAGGGAAAAGGGTAAGTTAAATAAACTGGAAAGTGAAACAAAACAAATACCACAACAGAAATTGAAACAACATCGAACAAAACAAATATCGAATGAAACCCGGAACAGGGCCAGCCCACCTCGCTAAGCCTCCGAGAGATAGGGGAGGCAACAATGAACAACTTGGTAATGGGTCGGCGCACTCAGTTACGCGGATTGGCTTTGCAGATGAAGAGAATAGTACTATAAAGCGGTACAGGGTGTAGAAAGCAAAAAAATCTTAAGAAGGTCCAATGTCAATCTAGAAACCATGTCAAAATAGCGGCCGATGAGATCAGTGATTTCAGCAGTGTAGGTTGTTTGGGATGTATGTTCCTCTATAAGCAATATTCATGTTAGAGAACATTCGTTGTCCCATATGGGTAATACCCTGATGTACTCGGGTGCTGGTGCACCTGATAAGGAAAAAAATAATTTATCAATTATAGAAAAACTCAAAAAAAACTATTTGTGAAACAAAGTTGACCTAACTTTGTATCCGTATAAAAACATTAGTGCATGAATAAGCTTTTGTTGACCTTAGGCCAAAATAACAAATTTCCTAGTACAAACCTAATGAACAGTAGTGTATATATATTCTTAATTTTGATTCCTTCACGGAACTTTGTATACGGTTACAACATTTGGTCATGAGGTTTCCAAAAAAATTAGGTTCTTTTTTACCTTTTTTGAATTACTAAATTATTTCTGCATATCCGGTGCGCCTACACCTGAGTGCACCAAGTTCCAACCTTGTCTAATACCGTCACTTGTCTGGTACACTTTCCCTATCTTATTTTTTAATATTGAGTAGGTGTTACTCTCATGAATACTAATTAGATAATATTGTATTGATGTACTTAAATTTGCAAACGAAAATACAAATTGTGTAGAGGATATTAAATAATTGAGAGAATCAAATAAAAGAGTCATAAAACCCAATAAAGACATGATCAATCAGGAAGTATTTTCCTAGGGGAAAATGGGAGAGGCATTTTTCAAGTGCGAAAAATAAAATAAAATTGGAGACCCGTTTTACCCTAGGTTTTTTGCCAGGGTTATTAGAGGGGAGAAGGGATGGAGGTTTTGGCGTGACTCGGGAGAAGTTAAGCGGCAATTACTTGCCATTTTTGTAAAGACCGCGCTTACCTAATTTGGATGGTCATTGGATAGGGCTTGCCCCTAGCAACGTCCAAGTTCCTATGTCCGCCCGACAACATTTTTGCACGGCAAAATGGGGCATCTGGATTCAGAATAAACATGCCTCGCAACAGACCACACATATGTAACAACGACTAGGCCAAGTGGAAATTGGTTGCGTCGAAAGGGTGAGGGCTTAAAAAGATCCAATGCCATTCAAAAACCATGTTCAAACACAGGCCAATGAGATGAATGATGTCAACTCTGTGGTGGGTGTGTTCTTCTACTAGTCATAGTTTTGTTAGAGAACATTGGGTGTCTAATGGAGACAATTGTCACTCATCTGGTGCACTCTCCTTATCTCACTTTTCTAAGTGAAACAATAGATTAAATTTCATGAATCATATAAACTTTTCATGAGCCTTTGGTCTATCGAACGGTTAGGAATCTGCTTTGTTTGAGACGTGGCTTTGAAGAGTGTTTGCTGCTCTCGTAAGAGTGTTTTAGTATCCCCATATGTGGTGATGTAATCAAGCAATAAGTATTTCCCTCGATTAGAGAACAAAGGTTTATCGGATCAGAAGGAGTTTCTAGCAAAAATAGTCACTGGCAGTGGCGGATCCACCATTGGGGCGAGCTGGGGCGGCCGCTCCGGCTCTCTGGTGACGAAGCAGGGTATCTCCCGTGCCTAGCGGCCATCGGTGCAGTGCAATGGTGCTCCATCGTCATCCGCCGCCCCGGCAAACCCCAATTTCTGGGTCCGCCACTGGTCACTGGTACCTAGATACACAAAACAAAACAAACTTGTACCCATCACGTCAAGACGATTGTCTTGCTAGTTGAAAGATTAAATGCAAATGATAGTGACAGTTTGACGGGTAGGTAAAATAGTAGAGCAAAGAATAGCAATTGTAACAATGATTTCAGTAAAGGAGAATAGAACCAGGGGGCATAGGTTCACTAGTGGTGTCTCTCTCAAGCATACAAGTGTGCGGTGGTGAACAAATTGCAGTTGGGCAACGATTAAATTGCAATATTTATATGATGACAGTGATCATTCATGGTATAATGTCATATAGACATTACATCTGTGTAAGTCCGTTAATCAAACTGCATCTACATATAGTACTCCACTCAAAGACCGCTATCTAGCATGCATCCCACAGTATTAAGCTTACAAGAAACAGAGCATTACAATTAGGTTGACATAATTCAAACAACAAAACATCAATCAATACGACGAGACACTGTCGATTTATCCTCTGTGCAACAATACAATATGTGTCTTGTCCTTTTCTATCATTAGGGTATAGAACATCGCAAAATTACAACCCACTACAAAGCACCAGAAGAAAAAAACATCAAACTTGGCCAAAGAAGATAGATAGATCGGAGCGCATGCAAAGCTATTTAATTATACAACAAGAAAATCTTAAAAGATTCAGTTGAATTCAATGAAAAAACTAATCATAAAGTGATAATCCATAATGTCCCAACAAACACATACATGGATTACGTCAGGTTGAACCCCGTGATGTGAGGTAGCTCACGGGAACTTAGTATTGAAAATCAGAGACAGAGAGATATCTAGCTATTGCTATGCACCCTAAGGTTCTAAAGGAACTACTCACACATGGTCATGGAGGCAGCAAGGTTGATGAAAAAGCCTCTGGCAGATACAGGAACATGCCTCCAGATTTGATCTCCTCGAAATAGAAGCTTGCGACGGCGGAAAAAGTTGGAGAAAAATCTTGCAAAGGGTTTCACAAAATATGGCATTTATAGGAGGAAGAATGGACGTACGGCGGTGGAGAGGGGGGCACATGGCCTAGGGGTCGGCCAAGGCCCTGACCACGCCTCCTGTTCGTGTGAGCCCTTGTAGCTCCTTTGGTTTCCTCCCGATGCTTCCTGGAACCTTTGTGCCCCGAAAAAATCATATTAAATCCTCGGAGCTTTTTTTTACCTCTAGATATTGATTTTCTGTAAAGTCAAAAACATGCGGAAAACAACATCTGGCACTGGCACTGAATTAATAGGTTAGTCCAAAAAACCATATAAATTGATATAAAAAGTATATTAAAATGATATTAAAATAGCATGAAATAATAATAAAAAAGATATATTTGAGACTCGGAGAGCATGGTACCAAGAGAGAGGGGGCAAAGTACAAAACCAAAAGAGATCATATACGTGTCAATGATCACTGAAACGATTTCTACGAGAAGATCGAAAGAAGTTTGGGACATGTTTCATGTATTTGGGACAAAAGGAGATGTGTAATAGTGACACCATACGACGTCTGGAAAATACGGGATAGACAACAATTTTATTGATTTGGATAAATTTACTCTCCTGAATAAGAAATATGGGATGGCATATGTTGTATAGAAAATTGCATTTCTCAAAAAGAAGTATGGAAAACTACAAACAAAAATACAAACTCCATGGAGAAGATTCAAAATAATAGGGAGAATCAAATAAGAAAGTAATAATTGGCAATAGAGATACGATCTATTAGGAGGTTGGTCCTGAAAAAAAAATAAGGAATGCTAAAAAAGAAAATTCAAGCACAGAAAAAATGGAAAAAAAAAGTAAAGGTCCCAATATAATAATGAAGAACCAAATAAGAAAGTAATAAATCCCAAAATAAAGATATGATTAATCATATATGAAGAATAGGGAATGCCATCTTGTTTTCAAGTATAGAAAAATTAAAGAAGGAAAAAATTAAAGAAGGAAAAACAAGGTCCCACCGAGGCTTGAACTCGGGTTACTGGATTCAGAGTCCAATGTCCTAACCACTAGACCATGGAACCATTTGTTGACTCTGATTTTCCCACTACTACTTTTATACCGCTTAGAGTGAGTCACCTTGTATGTGGAAAATTGAGCAGAATTGATTAGGTATGATGTCTGCTAGCTATTTAGACCGCGTTCGGCTCCTCTCCGCTC